GAGAGCACCCTGAAGTGACCTACCACAGATTCTTTTCCCCAGTCTCCTTCTGTAATACCTCCTCATTTAGGGTTGCATAGCTCCTACTCTGGCCTGAGGAGGCAATGCCTGAGGAAATGAGAGAACGAGACAGAGGGAGATGACCTAGAATTCTGGCATGGGGGGCTGGGGCAGGAAGCTCCACCAAGGCCATAGATCAGTTGAGTACTCTAGCCCTTGGGTCTGGGATAGGGGCCTCTCTGCCTCTGCCACTAATTTACTATGTGGCTTAGGGCAAATCACTTCCTCTCTCTAGTCTTCTTTTTTCTCCTATGAAAGGTGAGTGATTTATGTCTCTGGGATTTCTCCTAGCTCTAGGACTCTGACCCTGACAGACTCAACCCTATGAACCCCCCCTAAAGTTGTGACTCCTGTCTCCTGCTTAGCACACCTCATCTTAGACCCAAGGCAGAAGGAAGCCTCAAAGACTACATTAAAGGACCTCATTTGTTGTCCTTAGGCTAGGCCCAGGGACGGTGTTTGTTTTAGAAGTCAGGGAAACTTTATGGCCTAAGGTATAGGGGAGAGAAGTCTTGAACTCGGTGACCCAATTATGTTAGGTGTGTGTCCACTTGGGGAGAGATCTTCATGCTGCTGGGTACACTTGCCCCACATGGTGTCCTGCGGCAGGGGCTCCCCTAGTCTGAAGTCTAGGTGGCCTGCTGGATCATGTTCTTGTAGTCGTGAAAGGTCCCAGGCTTTAGTTGTAGGACTGCAGAAAAAATCCACTTCACCTAAGATGGGATGGAAAGTTAGGAGGCGAGATGGAGAGATAGCAGGTCAATAAGGATTATGACAAGTTTGGGAACTAATGGCAAGTTTAGGTGCTATCTTCCCTCTTAGACTAGGAGCTCCCTGAGGACAGGATCTCTGACTTCTCTTCCATCTACATTCTCTTCCTCCCCCCAGCCTTTCATCTTGGAACTTTCCTAGAGGTGCCCTTCTTGAAACATTCCTGGGGTGGGGAAGGTGAGGGAAGAATAAAATGAGGAGAATAATGACTAGTGACAATGATCACCATGTAAGGAGCCCCCTTTTAATTCTATCTGTGTTCTCTGACCTTGAACAGGGTGACTGTGGCACTATAGCAAACGCTGAGAAGGAAGAGGACGATGAAGACATAGATGGTTGTCCAAAGCCCATCCAATTCCTCATTCTCTACTTCTGTGCATATGTCCTCCTGATCCATATCTGCAGGGGAAAGAAGTTCATCAGTTTATCTTCCCTTTTTGTTCCCTTTCCTCTTCTCTTTATCTTGCTTACCCTTCTCTTTCCTGAGCAAAGATACTACCAGGACCCAGTTACCAGTCTTTTCTCCCATCCTTAGAGTGTCAGCCCATCTGTCAAGAAGTGCTTAGCAGTTCTGTGTGTCTAGTCCCACAAAAGCCTTACTGTTCAGGAGATGAGAGAAGTCATAGCCCCTGGCCTGGAGAGGTCACAGCTGTGTTAGAGCCATCTCAAACTAGCATGTGAACATCTACTGCAAATGCTACAAATTAGGACTTGATTTATTCTTTTGTTAATTGTCTAGACTTAAGAAAGTGATGGAAAAATGTTAGAATGCTGATTAAACTTAAAAGTGTGTCATGCATAAAAGTCACTTATTAAACATTTATCAGCACACCCCTACTTGTACATATTTGCCTCAGATACAGACTGGCCTATCTTACTATCTTATTCTCAAGTCTAGGAGCTGCAGGAGAATGTGAATCTAGGGGCAGAGGGTAGGGTCAAGTCTGACGGTATTCAGTGAGGTACAGAGGACATGATAATAAATATGAACACATAAATACAACAGATACATAATAATAACAGGAAGAATAGTTTAGTTCTCTATAAGTATAAACTAAGTGACAGACTAATAAGGAAAGATCATTGTGGATTGGGATAGTATTTGGAAGGGCAGAGGGGAAAGTGGAAGGGGAAATTCTGGTCTTAACTCCATTAACTCTATTGTGTGATCTTTGACAAGTTACTTTCCTTATCTGACCCTCAATTCTTTCAGCTATGCAATGAAGCAATATCAGACCCTTCCAGAACTATATCAGACCCTTCCAGGACTAAGGAACCATCCGGTTAAGGATTTATGATCCAGAGGTTCCTGAAACGTAGGCTTCAGATGTGTGAAGGGCTATGGAATTATTATAAAGGCTCTGTGAGTGTGAGCCAAGAATCATCATTTTCATATTTATTTGGCTACAACAAAAGATGCATTGTGAAACTACTGTCATCTGGGTGAGGGTGTCAGTGACTTTTTTGACATTAAAAAGGAGTCTTCATATTTGAAAAAGTTGGAAACAACTGCTCTAAGGTATACCAATCAATTTGTAAATATAACCATCTTTAGTCTTTGGGTTCCATGTTCCCAGGGCCCTACCTTCAGGAAGCTTATATTCGGGGGTGGGAGAAACGACAAAGAATCAGAAATGACAAGAACAATGTCTTAGGTCATTCCTTTTCCATTCTAAACATACCCAATTCTTTCAAGTTATTTCCTATTATAGGGTTTGCAGTTCGCTCACCATTTTGGTTGCCCTCCTTCTATGCTTTCTTTTTCTAATCCTCTACATATGCTGATTCTTTCTTCTATGTCCCTCTGGTATTCTTCCAAGACTGGATGTATGTTTGTGGGGGTGGAGGAGGCATGAAATAATGGATCTCCAGTGCCTTTGCTTATTCTGTTTTCCTACTTGGAATGCCCTCCCTTCTCCAATACCCTTAAACTACCAGTCCTTCAGGTGCCAGGAACGATGCAGTGCTATGCACAGGGTAGGTGTTCAGTATATATTTGCTAAATATATTGATTAAGTTTCATTTCCTCCACGAAGCTTCCATGGCTGCTTTAGAATAGGTTAATTTTTTCTTTCTCTGAGTTCCTATTGGATTTAGAGTTGGAAGCATACATATTGTTCTGTGGTGTTTACTGATTGTGTTGTGTGTGATTTTGTCTTATTTTTCCTAATCTGGATGGTGATCTTCCAAAGGGAAGGGACTAGGTCTGCCTCTGTCTTTCTTAGACTATAGACTCCCCAGGGCAGGGCCTAAGTCTGTTTCTTCTCTATTTTTCCCACAGTAGAGGCTGTCCAGGACTGAAAACAAGGAAATCTAATTTTTTTTCTCTCTTGGGGCTTTGGGGCCAGTGGACAGACAATAAGATCCGCTCTCAGGCTATGAATTAGGGTTTCTTTTCTTCTACTGCCTGCTGGGGGAAGGCAAAATACTATTCCTTCTGACATTTGGAAAGGGGTGGATTGTGTTAAGCAAAGGAGTTTTGTGTGTAGAGTGAGGATGCTCTTATCATAAGAGTTTTAAAATGCTCTAGGAAGTGGTAAGGGACAAGTTTCAGAATGGAACTGGCTATGGTTATCTAGAGATTATGCTTCAGGTTGGCCTGTCTCAATTCTGAGTGTCTTTCTAGGCCCTAGCATCAGCCTTATTGGGAAGGGAGCAGGGAGATGGGGTGGAATCATGCCCACTGATTTCATGGCTGAAAATGAAGAGGAGACAAAGAGGGTGTAAACATGTATGTTCACAAATGTATGTTAGTGTGAGTAGTACCATGTGAATGAATGCCTGTGTATATGACTTATTTGAGGATAAAAACATCTGACTCTGAGAGGGATTGTAAATGTGTGTATTATTTATACATGTTTCATAATGCGTGCTATTTTATTTTATGAATATGTGTACGAGCATGTCTACAGGTTTGTATGTTAATAGTGATATACATATATGTGCAAATATAATTGCGCAGATGTGTATGATTGTACGAGATGATTGATAGGATTGTGTGTACAGTTCTGTGGTTATGTGAGCATGTGATTTATATATGGTATTACTAGTGTGTTTTGTTTATATGAATGCATTAATATCTCTGTTGTAGGTGTTGGTGTTTCTGAATTGCTTTTCTATAGGCATCAGAAGCCCATGATCTTCTTAGCGGTCTTTTATTTGAGGACACAGGAGAAGAGTTTGTATACAAACAGATCAGTGTATGATGAAGGACATTGTTTTGTGTTCAAATTTGGGGGTTCCCAGTGCGTTTATCTAAAGCTTTTATTAACAACAATAACAGTAATGATAATAGCTAGCATTTAAGGTTTCTAAAGGGTTTTTATAAATATGATCTCATTTTCTCTCATGCAACCCTGGGTTTTGTGAAAACCTGTCCTCCCACCTCACCCAGTTAGCAGATCCAGCTAGCTTAGATGTGTGGTTTCAAAACTATGTGAGTCACAACCTCTTTGAGCCTATTAGCCAAGTGGAGATAATAATGCTTGCACTGCCTACCTCACGGGGTTGTTTATGAGGAAATTGCTTAGCAAACCTTAAAGTGTCATAGAATATGAGTTCTTTATGTGTGAGTCTAGAATGTATCTGTATTCATGTGTGAATGTGAGTGGATGTTGTGTGTATCTGTGTGAATAGTCATGTGCGTTTATATAATATATAATAATTATATCTGTTCTCTTAGTTAATACAAGCCCTGTCTCAATGTTTCTTGAAGGGTGAGGGACTTGTCAGCCATATCTACTTTCTACGCCTCAGCTCACCTCTACTAATGGAGTCAACTTCCTCCAGTTTCTATCATAAATTTTCTGGGTATATCAGTCCTGAGGGGGGAGTGATCAGTGGGTTGATTAAGACATAAGCCAACTTTAAACTCTCTCTGCCCTCACAGACCCCTCAATGTCTCTGCCAGAAGAATGTCAGAGCTACAGAATCCTAGAATCTTAAAATCCTAGAAGCTTAGGTTCTGGAAGCATAGAGGCACTTCAGAGATCTCTCTAGTTCAACCATTCTTCCAGTGCAGATATCACCACTATGGGCTATTCACAACATCAGCTAAGTCAGGCCCAGCCCCTGAGAGCTCTTCATAATTCCCTCCCACCTGATATCAGAGAAATTCACTGTTCTCATTGCCCTTCTCTCCACCCCCCAAGAACAGGTCAGTACTTGGCTTAGATGTAGACATGGACATATATATTTATTGGGTCAGATGTTGGGGTATTTAGATATCAGACAGATATATCCTCCTCTAGGGGCCCAGAATGGCCCCACATGAGGAGGTAGGAAAGGAGGTTAGAAAGGGTAAAGGTCTGGGTCAGGGTAGTCAATTACCAGCTGAATAATGAAGGCTTTTGTCGAGGGTGCGGGTGCCAGGTAGGGCTTCATGCACCACACGGCAGGTGTAAACATGTCCTTCTTGCCAATGAGACTTGTTGACAATCATTCTGCTGTAGAGGAAGAAGGAAGGGTCGGGTCCGTGGTCTTTGTGGGGCCGGGTGGTAGTGTGGTGTCCAGTGTGGTCATCCTTGTTATCAAGCAGCCATTGGACAGTGATGTCAGAAGGGAAGAAGTTCTGAACAAGGCAAGTGAGGGAGACGGTGTTTCCCTTTTCCTCTGCAGATGGAGGGAACACATATACCTCAGGGGCTATGCGTTTGCCTGTGAGGAACCAGAAAGACCACGTAGATGAGGATTAGACTTAGAGTATGGGTCTTTTGAAGATTATTTCATACAGCCCTTTGATCCTCCCCTTCTTCCCCAAATTCTCAGAGACTGATTGTGCACTTCATTCCAAACGCTGACCCGCAAGGCTTTCATGTCCTTCCCTATGTTGGATCTTTTACTGCTTTCTCTTATCCATGGTAGTTAGTGGTAGGGGAAGGGAACTTGAATGGGCACAGGGTGGCCACAAAGTCTCATCATTTCTACTGACAGCTTATATATTAATTTCTCTCCATTCACACAGATACCATATTGTTACGGGCCCTCCTTACCTCATACCTGAACTACTTTAAGAACTTTCTGATTAGTCTCCCTGCTCCAGTCCATTCTTTACTAAACTGCCAAAGTGATCATTCCTGAAGCACAGGTCTGACCTTGTCACTCTAACCTCCTGGATGGGCTGTTCACAACATCAGCTAAGTCAGGCCCAGCCCCTGAGAGCTCTTCATAATCCCCTCCCACCTGATATCAGAGAAATTCACTGTTCTCATTGCTGTTCTCTCCACCCCCCAAGAATAGGTCCTTCTCCCCAACTTCCTTCAATAAAATTCAATGGCTCACTATTACCTCTAGTAAAATACAAAACTCTGTCTTTTAAAGCTCTTCACAATCTGGCTCTTTCTTAACTTTCCCACCTTCTTATCATTTACTCTCCTTCCATGTATTCTACAATCCAAATATAGTGGCCTTTTTATTGTTTGTCCTACACAGCACTCGACATCTCCCAACTTGATGCCTTTTCACTGACTGTACCTCATTCTTAGATTGCTTTGCCTTCTCACCTCCACTTCCTGGTTTGCTTCAAGGTAGCTCAAATCTCTCTCTCTCTCTCTCTCTCTCTCTCTCTCTCTCTCTCTCTCTCTCTCTCTCTCTCTCTCTCTTTGCAGGAGGTCTTTCCTGGACTACTATTAATGTCTTCTACTTACACTGTTTGTTTGCACATAATCTTTCTTATAAGAATGTTAGCTCCTTGAAGGCAGGGATCATGTTTTTGCTTTTTGTTGTATCCCCAGTGCTCAGTCCAGTGCCTAGTACATAGTAGGGCTGATAAATACTTGTTGCTGTTGCTGATTTCCCCCTTCTTACCTGGAGCCTTGGAGATGGTCCTGATGAGGGGGCGGGGTAGGTCAGGGTGTTCCAACTGGCAGGTATAGGTGTCACCCTCCACCCAGTCATTTGTCTGGACAGGCAAGGTTGAAGTTACTGTGACAGTGCCATTATACTCCTCCTTTACCACTGGTGAACTTGGACTGGTGGGACCTCCACTTTCTCGGGACCAAGAAACCTTCATATTGTCTGCACTGGCCAGGTCCACTATCAGGCATGTGAGCATGGGTGACTTGCTGACATAAAGGTCAAAGGCACTAGGTGGACTGAGGTAGGCAGCGATGCCTCGTGGGTCAGTGTCTGTGGGGAGTAGATTGAATGATTAGTGAATGAATCATTTTCTTCCACTCTTCTCCAGTAAGCTCTCCTATTTGTTTATAGTCTCATGCTTATGTCCAGTCAGGGAAAGTGAGATTATAAAGCTCCCTCTGGATTAGGCCTATTTCCCATACCAATTTACAACTGTGTTATGCTTCTAGCCTCCACATCCTCGGCCTTCTGAAGCTTCTCAAACCTATAAACCCAAATTATGCCTACTAGGTGCATCTGTGTACCTGTATTTGTAATTGTGCGTATGTTTTTGTCTAAATGTCTATATGTATGTGTGGAACTGAGTTGTCTGTGACCATATTTCTCTGTGTGACTGTGCACCTGTGTGATGATACATGGCTGTTACCTGAACACCTTTGGGCCTTGTCTTCATAGATGCTGCCATTGTGTGTGACTTGACAGGTGTAGGTCTTAGATGACATCCACTGGCCCTGTGTGATGTTGAGTTCACTTTCTAAAGAAAAGGTCAGGCCTCCTTCCCTCTTGGGCCTGTTTGTGTAGGGGAAGAGGCTCTCAGCTTCTTGTCCATCCACTAGCCAAGTCACTCGGACATTGGCTGGGGAGAAGCCAGAGACAAGGCAGAGCAGCTGGATGGTAGAATGAGCATCCCCTCGTGGGTCACAGGATGAGTGGAAGAGCTTTACCGTGGGTGGAATGATTGTCACGGGGCCACAGGCTAAAAGTAGAAAATAAACCATTTGAGAGAAGACCAAACTGAGAAGACTTTGGGGGGAAAGGGAATGGACAGATATATAGGGGAGATGAAGAAGTAATTCCCACTCATCCTCCTTTCTCCATCTCATATTGATAGGAAAGTCTATTCTTAAAAATCTCCAAAGAAGGAGACTATAATATCTTTCCCTCTTGCTTTTCAGAGGTTTACTTCATCACTGTCAAGAAGTTCGTCCTTATCTCTGTCTAAAGCATCTGCTGTTATCATCCCTGTCCCCTTCCTCACCTCGGAGAGATACAGATGTTTTGACTTTGGTCTTAGTAGGTAAGTGGTCCACGCTGCAGGTGTATTGCTGGGAACTCAAGTCTGAGAGGGTAAGTTGGCTGGTAGTGGTGTAGAGTCCAGATTTGGAATCATAGGCAGCTGGAAAAGTTGTTATTTTCTCATCCAGGACATCCGAGTTCCAGCTCACAGTCACTGGCTCAGGGAAATAGCTAGACACAAGGCAGCCCACGAAACTTAAGCCTTCAGAGATGGGATCACAGCAGGAAACCAAAGGAAAGACAGATGGAGCCGTGCTGGTGGCTGAGGGTAGGAGAAGAGTACAGAGATGGTCAATGTTACCAGGCACTCGGCTGATTACTGACATCCCTTTCACCTCAAAACCAAGTGCTATACTTGAGTTTGACTTCCTACCTTTGCCATTGTCCTTAAATAATTTTTACTTAGTGGGTCTGTGGAGCCCTTACAAGAGTGTTGCGTATGTTTGGGGTGGGAGAGGGGGGCAACAAAAAGAATTGAGTGGGCTTACTTTACTATTTCCCAATACAGTTTCAAATTTTAGATGGGGTTTAATTACCCTCTCCCTATTTTTCATAGTAATATCCCTGGCCCCTATGTCCAAAGGAACTTCTAAATCTTATGCATCACAATTCCACAGATCAGAATATAGGTAGCATGTTTGCAGGGTTGGAATTAGGATTAGAGTTGGCTCTGACTTCTCCTTCTCCCCTCCTCTTCCCAGTTCCTAGAGCAAACCTTTTCTTCTTCCTTTATGCTCTAATCTTTGGGTTGCAAACACACCAACAGGCCATACCTCTGGACTTATTTCCTAACTCAACCATCGTTTAATCTAAGCCCTTCTTTCCACCCCCACCACATACTCATTCCAACTTGAGCTTTTATCTACCTTCCTCCTCCACCTCTGCCCTTGCAGACTAGACACTTCTCTCTCTCCACATTCTATTAATTTATTTTGATTTATCAACAATCACTTCCATAAGCTTTTGAGTTTTAAATCTTTCTCCCCCTCTGTCCCTGTTTCCCTCCCTAAGACGATGCACAATCAGATATAGGCTCTACGTATACATTCCCATTAAACATATTTTCACATCTTCCCACATTCTAGCCTGGTCCCTGCTTCACTATATCTTTGTTGCCCAAGAGCTCCCAGACTTCAGCCTTGAAAAGGTCCAAATACGATTGTGGATCGTAGTTTAGCTAAGAGAGATCTCCCATCTTAGCTCAGTGACAATCCCCAGAATAGACCAGCCTAGGAGGAGATGAATACAGCTCAGCATGGAAACATCCCATAGTCCAGCCCAGTAACAATGAAATAGTCCAGTGTAGAAACAGTTGCTAGTTGAGTTTAGGAACATCCTCTAGCCCAGCCCAGCCCAAATCAGCCCAGGAACAACTTAAGTAGAGCTCAGGAATACTTTCCACCCCAGCCCAGCCCACCATAGGAATAATTTCCAAAACCAGCATAAGGACAGACTCTAACCAAATCCAGCACAGGACCATCTTGAGACCATTATAAAAACATCTCCTATTAATTCCCAGGAATCAGGGACACTCTCCCTCCCACCCTCAGCTAAGCACAGGACGAACTCCCAGGCCAGCTATCCTACCTCAAGAACAACTTCTTCATCCCATCATTGTAATATTCCAAGCTAGTCCATTACAGAATAGAAGTAGTTCTTAGTCAAGCTGAGGACCATTCCTTAGCCCAGCCCAGCCCAGTCTAGCCTAGCTTGGAGACAATTCCCAGATCAGCACAGAAACAGTCCACAAACCCAGTTTAGGTAGAGCACCCAGTCTAGCCTAGCTAGTCCAGAAATGTGTCTCAGTCTAGCTCAGGATCATAATTAGCTGAGCACAACCAAGCCCAGCATAAGAACACTTCCCATTTCAGATCAGCCCAGAAAAAGCTTCTAGACATAACAGGGGTATCTCCAACCCATTTCAGGAAGAGCAACCATACCATTTTCCCCCGGTGCAGGAACAGGTCCCAGGACAGCTCAAGGATAGCTCATAGCCCAGTTACGGAATGACTAGATTATTCAAGAACAGTACCCAGCCCGACTCAGGACCAAGCTCCAATCCAGCTCCGGAATAGCTCAAAACCCAACCTAGCAATATGTTCAAGCTAGCTCAAGCATAGGTCTCAGGCCAGCTCAAGAATAGGCCCAGCCTAAACTATCCCAACCCAGCATTAGAACATTTCTAGGACCAGTTCAGGAACAACTCATAGATCAGCCTAGGAGCAGCTTGTCATCGATACAGCTATGAGACTAGTTCCGAACCAGCTCCTAGCCAGTCTCCAACCTAGCTTACTCTAGTCCAGGAATAGCTGCTGGACCAGCCCAATAAAGGTCTGCCCTTAGCCTCCAGTTCAGATAAAGCTTCCAAACAGCACAGGAACATCTCCCAACCTAGCTCTGGAAAAGCCCAGTACAGGAATAGTTCCCTGTTTAGGAGAAACCTCTAGTGCAGCGTGAGACCATCCTACTTCATCATAGCACAGACTAGATCATGAATGCTTCAAGTACAGCACAAAAAAAGTTCCCAGCCCAACCCAGCCAGGAACAACCTCTCTAGCACAGTCCAGATCAGAATATCCCCTGGACCATGTTAGCATCAGCGCCTTGTTCAGTTTGACACAAAACATCTCTTTTCTCTACCCCGACCCCCTGTATCCAGAACTCATTTCAGAAGCATTGTCCAAATAAACCCAACTCAGGAACAGTTTCTAACCCAGCCCAGGAAGGGCACCCAGCCCATCATAAGAATTGTTCTCAGCCCAGCTCAGGGCAAGAACAGCTCTAGCTTACTTCAGGAATAGTTCTTAGACCTCAGCCTGGCTTAAGAACAACACTCAAGCCAATCTGAAACAGCCCATAGGTTAGGCTGAGACTGAGCCTAGGCTTAGCTCCTGGTCTCTAATGTCAGCTCAACAACATCCATGAGTTTCTAATTAATCTCTATATAACAGGAGTCTCCTGTACCCCATCTAATTGTCTTCTTATCTCTCAGTAACATTACTTGTTATATTACTTGTGAGAGCTCTAGTCCCTTATGTTAAAATATGTCTCTCTCTCTCTCTCTCTCTCTCTCTCTCTCTCTCTCTCTCTCTCTCTCTCTCTCTCTCTCTCTCCCCCCCTCCCTCTCTCTTTCTCTCTCTCTGTCTCTGTCTCTCTCTGTCTCTCTCTTTCTCTATCTGTCTCTGTCTGTCTCTCTGTCTCTCTCTCTCTCTCTCTCTCTCTCTCTCTCTGTCTCTCTCTCTCTCTGTCTCTCTGTCTCTCTCTCTCTCTCTCTCTCTCTCTCTCTCTCTCTCTGTCTCTCTCTCTCTCTCTCTCTCTCTCTCTCTCTCTCTCTCTCTCTCCCTCTCTGTCTCTTCCTCTCTCTCCCTTATGCATATACCCCACCCCAGCTCCACTCTCTGACTAACCTGGCCAAGATTATACTTACTGACTCTATAACAGGAAAATTTCAGCCTGAATCTCTGATCTCAGCTTCTGGATGTTCTTATCATCCCTCTTTTACTCTGGGTCCATAGCTCTTAGAGTGACTGTTCTCCTTTGAATAGTCATATTTCTGTCCTTTCACCCAAGACCTATAGCAGAAGGAGGTAGGAAGTCTTGGACTTGATCTTGACCTCCTCTTCTGTCACCTGAAGTCTTCCCCTTCTATAAGACAAGGGGAGATAGAGGGAAAAAAAACATTCTAAGAAACAGGGAAAACGATGAACCCAGATACCCTAGCTTCCACCAATGGTTCCCAAATATTGAAACTTTCTAGTCTTACCTCATCAGCCGTTCCTTTCGGAAAAAAAGAGGATGATCAGAGGTCTATGGAGCTGAGGTCAGCATCAAGCTAGTTGGGGCTGGGTCACCTCCTGGGGCTTTTCCCCTAGCTAAATACCTGTGTAACAGAACAGAGGAGTAGGAATTGGAGAGAGGCAGATCCTAAAACAATGGTAGTCACTAAATTCAGTCATCAATGTTATTTTTACTCCCAGTAAAGGGGTGGTGGGGGCTCTGCCTCAGTGCCCTCGGTGCTAAAAATGGGATGGAAAACCCCAGGGGCCATGGCCACACCAGGAAGTTCCCTTTCTTCTTTTCTTGTGGGAGACTGAGTGAAGGTTGGGGGGTTGGGGATCTGGGTGAGGAGCTGAAGTTGCTGAGAATGGGGGAAATAAACCAGGGCACAGATCTGTAGGTCGTTATTATCTCCCTCTGTCTTTACTTATCTCATTATATCTGCTTTAGCACTTGTTTGGTCATCTTCATTTCTTTTTATCTCTGTATTTTTTGCTGTTTCTAACTCCATGTCTCTTTAATTCTGCTTTTCTCTCATTCTCCATTTCTCTATCTTTCTTTCTGTCTTGCTCCATCCATGTCTTTCTCCATTTCAGTATCTCTTTTCTTTTTTGTATCTCTACATCTTTGCCCTTTTCCATTTTTCTGTTACTCACCATCTTTCTGCTTTGCCACTCTGTTTATCTATTTAGACTCTTTCAGTTTCTGCATCTATCTCCCTCCATCTATCTATCTGCATCCTTGTCTTTTTTTTTTTGTACTTCTGTGTCTCTGTGTCTTTGCCTCTGATGCTCTGCAATTGGAGTCAGCAAACTGACATAGTGAATAGAAGACTAGGCCTAGAATCAAGAAGATCTGAGTTCAAATCCAGCCTTAAACACTTACTAGCTATGTGACCCTAGAAACAGGGTCTGCCACCATTTCCTTAACTGCAAAATGGAGATAATAATAATAATAACAGGATAATTTTGAAGATTAAATGAGATAATATTTATAAAGTATTTAGCACAGTGCCTGGCACATAGTAGATGCTTAATAAGTGTTTCCTTACTTTCTCCCTTCTCAGAATCAGTAAGGATTATGAGACATTTCCTTTTCTCCTTCTTCTAGTAGTTCTTTAAGTTCTGAAATGCTTTGTCTGAAGCCTCTACTGCACCCCCCAAAAAAACCCCCCAAATTCCAAGGGAAGACTCTGAAGGGATATTTCTGTCTTCAGCTATCAGACCAGTTACCCTAATAAATGTATCAATAGGAGAGGCAGGAAGGATGTCTGCTGCAACAAAGGCTACAGAGAAAGTCAGGAGAGCATGTGGAAAATTATACCTTGCTTTTTACTAAAGGACAAGAGGCAGTCCTGAGTTCTGTTCTGGCCACCTTGTCTGGCTCATGGTTGCAACGGAAAGAGAGCGAGAGATGAGAAAGTGAGAGTGAGAGCCATTAGCTCCATTAACCTGTGTCCTACCTGGGGTTCCTAGTTAAATATACTTGGTGGGGGAAAGAGGAAAGTGCTCAGTGCCTCAGAGAGGCTTCGGAGAAGATTAAGAAAGAGGGTGGAAACCAGAGC